CTGGGGAATTCTGGGAGTTGAAGTCCACTCATCTTAAAGTGGCCAAGTTTGGACAACACTGCTTTACAACATGCTTGAAAGCAAAACAGCCTTTTCTTTTTATCCTCAAACATATACTGAAAGGCAGACACGTTCACTAAATCCCTGGCACCCAAAATGCCCTTTTTAAGCTCCCCTTAGAAGCACCAAGGAGATGAGATTTAGATTTTGCTAAAGGTAAGTCTGTTCCACAGGACTTCCAGGTAATATTTTTTGAATTTAGCATGCAATGTTTACAAAGGATTTTCTGTTAAATGGTCTTTTTTAAACCTTTGTGTCTTACATGGATTTTCTTAATTTCTGTATGTTTGCCTATATTTGGGCCACAATGGCTCATCTATACCATTCTCAAAGATGTGCAGCAGTATTTTCTTGTCTATCGTTCTCCTTGGTCAGTTTGATTTCATTTGCTAATAAATTACTTCCAAGAATTGCACAATTCATTGCACTGACATATGAACATCTAGATATTTACATGACAAAATTGGAAACAGCAAGACCAGAAACTGGGCTACCAGCCACAAAGAATATAACAACAGAGACTAATCTCCAGATTCAATAGAGGCCTCTCTAGATTTTCTTCTCTGTATTTCTTCTTGTCTATTGATCCTATCTTCCCCTCTATGAATCCTTTTAAAAGGTCCAAAAGATGCCGTTCATGTAATTCATTCAGTAATTCGTTATCCCCAAAGGGTTGTTCCATCTCTTTCATGTATCACTCCTTAATTTGAAGCAGCAGTGAGATTAGTGTCCTTGCATTCTGCACTGTTCTATTTAACACAGATACCAATAGGGTAAAATGTTAATTAAATGAGTCTCTTAAGTAAAAGAAAAGAACATCCGTTATCTGAGACACTTAATTACATTAGATACAGCACAGTCAACTATTCTTTGGGGAACAACATGCACCGGGAAACAAAAGATGGGCTTGTGTAATTCTTAAAGAGGTCTTGAACTGCAGCTAATCACAGCAATCCCTAAAGTATATTCCCCATAACACAAGCATTTCCGTATCACAAGGACAGCACTATACATTCAAATGTATTGTTACAACAGTCAGCCAGTTGTTTAGACTGGATTTGGCATTTTTATCCACCTACAGAGTCCTTCCCACAGACCTGGGATAGGCAGATGTTGTTGCTTGATGGTGTTAAAGGTATATCATCATCATCATCATCTTCGTCATCATCATCATCGTCATCGTCATCATCATGTTTTTTGTAAATACAATATATTCTTAACACAATATTTATAATTGAAAATAGTATGGATAAACAAAAATGTATAAAAAAGAATAATGTACATTTTAATTTATAATTATACAATATACATAATATAGAAAGCATATTATTTATTCAATCACATATTTTGTTTTTTTTAATTTTTAATTTTACTATTTTACAAATTATGTTTATGTTGTATATTTTTACAAGTCTTGTCCTATATATTTTATTTGATTGAATCAGGCACTTTAGTGGGGGGGCTTCACCATATTTATTTTACCTTGTACTGTATACATAATATATCATGGGAAATGCAGGATTAGAAGAAACAGAAATTGGAGTTTATATTGCTAGGGAAAACATCAGCAACCTCAGATAAGCTGATGTTACCACTTTCATGGCTGGACATCAGGAAGACTGAAGGAAACTCCATTGAAAGTGATAGCAGAGCATGCAAAAGCTAGTTTGCTACTCAAAATTTTAAAAAACAAGATTATGTCAATGGACAATGACAACCCAATACAAACAGGTGGAGAAGAAATTGAGGAAATAACAGATGTTGTCTTCCTAGGATGAAAAATTCACTAGGATGATAATGTCGTTGTGAAATAAAGTAACATCTGCTATTTGGGAGAAAGACTAAGAAATCTAAAAAAAAAAAAAGAAGAAGAAAGTGAGACATCACCGACAATAAAGGAATGTTTTGTCAAGGCCATGGTTTTCTCAGTTGTAAGACTGACAATACATATTAAAAGTCATGAGCAAATCTTGTCAGGACTGAGCCTGAGCTCTCAATCCCAAAGAGCCTCTAAACACTGGATCAGAAAATGGATCAGCATCATGGGGATGGCCCAGGACTGGGATGGATAGTTGGGTATCATCAGCATACTGATGATACCAGTTTACAAACCAATGGATGACCTTCCCCAGTGGTTTCATGTAGATTAACAAGAAGGGAGAAAGTATCAAGCCCTGAGCCACCCTATAGGTGAGGGGCCACAGACATGACCTCCCACTTCCTGTCAGCAACAGTTGAAACCAGCCACAGAGGAAGGAAGAGAACCAAAGAATACAGCGCCTCCCATCCTGAAACCCCAGAATCAGTCCAAAAGGATACCCTGGTCGACAGTACTGAAAGCTGCTGAGAGATCAAGGAATACAAGGATGGACACACCATCTCTGTCCAGGCTCCGCCAAACGTAATTGACAAGCACAACCAATGTTGTCTTCCTACTATACCCTGACCTGAACCCTGACTGAAATGGGTCTAAATAATCTGCTTCCTTCAAGATCCTCTGCAACTGTTGTCCAACCATCTTCTCAACTGGAGACTGGACTGTAAGTTGTACAGAACTGTTGTGTCCAGTGATGGTTCTTGAGGAGGGGGCACACCAACCCTTCCTTCAGGAAATGCTGGAGCATAAGAGAGGCTGAATGAAGAAAAACCGATATTTGAACTATGGTGCTGGTTATGGCTCAGAATTGTCAGCCCTTCAAGGTAGACCAGACAGACTTGGCTTCAATTTGTTTTTAGCATTTCTAATTACTTTGCTCTGAAAGAAGAGATAAAAACAATTCTTTCTTCCCACCATTACTTCTACACCTCATATATTTCAGTAATTAGATATGATTATGCATCTCTGCATTAAAGATAGCACCACTGCTATACTGAAGTGAATATCTATTTAAATTTACTGAGGCAAGAAGATAAGACTTCAAAAGTACATCATGCAACATACATCTTGATCTTTTCATAAAACTAATGTTCATATTTTCAGGCAGACATTCCAACCAATATCATTAGTATCAAGAGCTGCAGCTTTTGTTCTGACTGAAATCACAAGTTAACATCCAACAATCTAATAAACAGGTTTAATCTTTCTTGTAGTCTAAAATGAAAAGAGTCTTAATTTACATTATTAAGGTCTGAAATTCCTTTGCCTCTCTATCATGGCATCTAACATTGAAAGGACATTTCTATATTCTTATTATATAACCATCTGACATTTCACAAGATGTTTTAGCTATAAATCAGAATTCCACAAGTCCACAAGCATTTAGCAAAGAGAAAAGCCTGCACAGCTAACAGAATGATTCCATCTTCAAGTTACATCTGCTAGGTGAGACAGGACCACCCTTATATCCACCACCCATGCTGATGAAGTCAAAGATCCATCAATACAGAATCTACAGTATTCTGGCACAGAGAAATCCTTGTATCAATAATAAATCTGTTTGCACAAGGGAAAAGAAGATGGGCAAGTTTGTGGCTATAGAAATAAATTTACTTCTATTCCCTGGGACTTGTTTCTACCTCCACTGTGATAAAATATTATGCTAACAGAAGTGAAATTATTATATATTAATTACCATAATTAGTTGAAAATAGTGCAATGAATGTAAAGGGATTTTTTTGCAGCCTTTCAAAATAAAGTTTCACTGAAGCAATTTTCAATCAAAATTGTAGAAACATTTTTAAACTAATACTTGCATCACAACACACCTCCTAATTCAGGCACTAAATTACACAGTCCAAAATTAAGACTATTATCCATTTAACTATTCATTTAACAATCCTCAGTTTCTTAAGACTTCAGTAACATCCCCCATGCAAGTTATATGTACTGTGTAGAACAGGAGCCCTTAGCTAAAAAACCCCAAATTCAGGATGATACTATGATCTGATGAAAATTAACTAAAAATACAAACACACTAAAAATGTACTGAGCACTCCATTATATCTATTGCAACTGTTGGCCCAACTTCTATTAGTTAATCCTGGCATTCAATAATTAGAAAACATAAACAGAATAACTTCTGGCTTTCACAGAGGCATCTGTCTACATAATGCCTGACCCAAACTTTCTGAAGCGCTTGTCAGGCTTTATTCAGTTTCCTTATAAACGTGAGTTTTGCATTCTCTTGAAAGAGTGTTAGACTGTTTTTCAAACATGGATTTGGGGCTCTGAAACCGCACTCTTGTAATGCTCTCTTAAAAGAGCTACACAGAAGGTTGATTTAAAACAAGAAAGAGAGTCAGGTTCTGCTCGTTGTGTGTTGCTGGTTCTGATAATATTGGGAATGTTACTGGTTTACCATGCTTCTCCCAAAGAGTGGTTTCACATGGCCTTAAATGTTATTACTTTGAGGGGGGGCACTGCCACTTTACCTCCTCCATCCTGGCTATTTGGCCATCCATGAGCTACTTCTGCTTGCTGCCAGCCACAGGAACAGAACTGGACTTGCTGCCAGCACTGCTGTTCTGCTGCAGCTGTCGGTCAAGGACACGGCTTTCTCATTATCAACAGCTCCCCCTTGCTTCAGTTTGTGTTCCTCCTCTGCACTTGTAAGCTGCACTATTTTTAGTCGTCTGTTTAGCACCCTTTCAGAACAAGGCTAGACCCATGTTAAGAAACAGCCTGATTGGTCATAGGAAATACTTCCTTGCCTGGAGATGGTTAGTTAGTTGGGCGACTTGACATGCAGCTAAAAAAAGGTTTTTTAAAAAAGGCCAAATGTGCCATTTCAAGGACCCACCTGCCCTGGCCCTAACGTGCCCCATCCCGTGTTACGGAGCGATTGATTTCCTGCCACTTGGTTGGACGTGAAAAGACTGGGGGATCCAGCCATTTCCTTAATTTGTCTCACATTAAAACAATAAGGACGGCATTAGTGAGCAGAACAGGTCACAGCAATTGGGGGAGCAAATTTTATGCCAGCAGACTCTTCTGTCAGTTCAAGGACTTCTGGATAGCACTTTAATGTGGCCATCTGGCTGGGGCTCTTACACGAGGATAGTCCATTCCAGCTGCCCACATCCTTCTCCCTTCGATCTCCACAGGCAATCAGCCAAAGTCCCCAGTGGCAACCATATGAGCCATCTGCAGTGTCATATAGAGACAAGTGAGGCTGGCAGCAACACCCAGCGACAAACTACTTTTCAGAGCCTTGTTCTTTCAGGGATCGTGCATCTCTCTCAAGCACAGCAGGTTGGACTATAACAAGGAGAGCCACATCTACCACGAGGATGCTAAAACAAAGAAAACTTACCCCCACTGTTGTGTTCTGCCGTCTTTTTTAAGTTTCATTTTAAACATTATACATTTTACAAAATTCCTCACTATAGAGAAATACTATGAGCAGGTAGCAACGTAAATTTCTGATCCTTAAAAATATATATTCAACAGACACAGAACAGAGAGTTACGAGATGCAATAAAATAGCTGCTCCTCTTATTATTTCTTCCTTACCAATCCAAGAAATCAATCAAAGCATTGAAAGCTATCTTATTATTCCAATATAATTATTTTTATCATTTTCCCAAGCTTCCTTTTACATTCCCCACAATATAAGGCACGATTCAGGTTTTTCCCCAGATCTCAGGATGCCAGCATACGCCTTCCCTCTGCAGCTATCAGTGACTTTGCACAGACTCTGCGCCAACAGAAAGTGATACTGAAATACCATTCCTAGTGCTGCAAAGTACACCATCATTTACACCCAGTCCTCCGCAGTTATATAAATCACTGGTTGTATTCTGGATAAATACCTTTTTTAAATTTATTTTTATTTGTTTGGAACTAAGTAGGAAATATAAACGTTTTCAAATAAGACACACGATATTCTCCCAGACAAAGTCATAATCTGGACTTCTTGCAAAAAGGAATTATGCTAACTTTATATGTTACAGTAATCCCCTCCTTCATTGCCTGTTTTTATACCAGTCAGTGTGTTTTTAATGCACTTAATTGTGCACTAAATATGTGTTTCAAAATATTTATTTGGACCTCTGGAATGTTGAAGGATCCCAAAGTTTGCACTATCCAGATTTTTACAGTGCATCTGTAATTATCACAAAAAAGTTGTATCAGAAGAAATACATATACAAATGTATACATTAGAGTAAAGCATGCAAACATGTTTTTTTCTTATTGAAAAAACAGTTTACAAATAAAGTACAGAAACTATGGAGTTGTTTCAGGATGTTTGGGAAGTACATAGGTTAACAGAGAACTTAATTTTGATCCATACTTTATTCTAGCAGATGCAAAACCTATTGGTTCATATGCATATTTGCAAACATGATATTCTGCAAGCATCCTTACATTATAACACTATAATTCTATCTCAGGATATTACTGAGACTGGGGTGCACAAATCCGAACAGTTTTATCACTGGTGAACAATTAACCAATAGGCCACCAAAAATCTTCACCCAGAGGTACTCATTAATGCTCATTTCTGGGAGCTGCTGTTTCCATACTGTTCTTAATTTCTAGAAAGTTTAGGTTTAAAATTGTTATTTGAAAAAGGGAAAATCAGATTCCCATTTTCTTCTAAAAAGAAGCTTTGAGATTTAAAAAAGGGAATGGTAAAATATTGAGATTTTCTATTTTTCATAGGTTTCAGGAAAGAGATTTTCAGATTTTCCTTATTTTGCTCACTGTACTGTAAGTATTATAGAATTTATATTACAACATCCATGTTTCTTAATTCAAACAGCAGGAGAAACATGTCATCAGTTTTACTTAATTCAAAATAGCAGGAGAAATGGGAATGAAGGGACACCTACGTGACCCTGTTGGCCACAGATTGAGGCATCTATAGGGTCAGATCAACAATCTCAAAAAGACAAGCACAACCGGGCAATTTAAGTCTCTGCCTTTTTTAATGTGTGTTACGCACATGTAAAAAGTGACAGGGCTTTGAACATCTGGTCAAGCCCACCATTCTGATGCCACTGGTGCCCTGGAGATCCCATGGCTGCAGACTCCTCATCTCTGACCAAAGTCATTGATAAGAGCATGCTAGGCCTTGAAGATAGCACTACAGTTTCATATTAAAAAATCTCTTTCCAGTTTGTTGAGAAACCTGGAAGCACACATGACAGTGCAATCTTTGAGACAACTTCTGCAATTAGGTGTAAATCTGTTTAATGCTATTATTATATGTTAGTCATATGCTAACTAAGGTAGTAAAGGACACCTGTTCAAATGATTTGTTGTAATCAATATACACTGCATTTATTGTATCCATCAATCCAGTAAATTATATTAAATCCAACAGATTAATCTACCAGAATTTATTGTCAGTAAATCCATGCAGGCTGATACTGCTATTTATTATCAAAATGTTTATAATTTCTTAATTTCTCAAGTCTTAGAAAACATTTCCCTGTTTCCAAATCCTGTAAGTATGTGTGTTAATCATAACCAAAAGAGGAAAGAAGAAGCAGTGGCTCACTTAGTTTGTAGAGAAGCAAGGGCATCTTGGAACTTGTTATTCAGAAATAAATTCACGGCTACCATACATTCACTGAGGGCAACATTCAAATCTGTTGTAGATGATCTGGGGGAAAAGAAAAGAATAAATACTAATTTTTCTGTTTGCAATGTCTGGAACAATCAAGAAACACTTTGTCCATGGAAGAGCAACATGATAACTACCAGAATATAATCTCCACAGATGACTTGGGTTCACACAAAACAGGTATGTAAAGGTTGTTACGGCCACAGAAGATTGTGAAAAATTTCAGAGTGAGCGATAAAAACATTGCAATCTTAATTTTTTTTGCTTATTTTACTCTCATGTTTTATATACTGTATTTGTTTTATTTGTTGTTAACAGCCTTGAGTGCTTATATAGGAACACAGGATATAAACTTAATAATAATACAATGAAATAAAATAAGGTTGTTTAAAGCTGATGTTACTAACCTAATACAGCAACAGAGCCTAAAACTGCTGGAATCAATCCACATACCAGCTCTACGCTCACACTTCTAAAGAAAAGATGCTGGGTGGAGGGTTGTTGTTTGAATAAATTCTAAATGAATAGTTGGTTCTCCAAATTTATCTCGCAAGGGACATATTTTTGCTCATTTCAAGAAGATAACAATTATTGTTGTTGTTGTTCAGTCGTTAAGTCGTGTCCGACTCTTCGTGACCCCATGAACCA